TCCAGCCCTCGGATCATTTTTGTGGCCCTCCTCTGGACCCACTCCTACAGGTCCATGTCATTCTTATGCTGGGGGCTCCAGAGCTGGACACAGTACTCCAGTTGGGGTCTCAAGCGAGCACAGTAGAGGGGCAGAATTACCTCCCTCAACCTGCTGGCCACACTTCTTTTGATGCAGCCCAGGATATGGTTGGCCTTCTAGGCTGAAAGTACACTTTGGTGGCTTATGTGCAGATTTTATACCACCAGCACCCCTAGGTCATTCTCGGCAGAGCTGCTCTCAACCCCTGCATCCCTCAGCCTGTGCTGACACCAGGGGTTGCCCCGACCTGGGTGCAGGACCTTGCACCTGGCCTTGTTGAACCTCTTGAGTTTCACACAGGCCCACTTATCCAGTTTGTCAAGGTACGTCTGGATGGCATTCCATCCTTCCGGCATGTCAACTGCACCACTCGACTTGGTGTCATCTGCAAATTTCATGAGGGTGCATTCGACCCCACTGTCTATGTGTCCTGGGTTTGGCCAGGACAGGGTTAATTTTCACTGGAATCCAGGAAGGGACACAGCTGACCCCACCCGACCAAACAGAGCAGGGTATTCCATACCATGTGACATCATGCTGCGTTCTGGTGGGGGGAGCTGGACGGCGGGAGCTCTCTCGCAGCTCGGGAGCGCGCAGCCCCTGTTCGGTCCGGGAGAGCGGCTCTCTGGGATGTGCGGTTTGTGTTGTGTTTTCTCCTTACCTGTATCGTTGTTGTTCCTGTTCCCTTTGTTTGCTGTTCTGTTAAACTGACCGTATCCTGACCCACCAGTTTCTGCCTGTTTCTTTCCATTCTCCTCCGCACCCCGGCAGGGGGAGGGGCGGCCGCGTGGTGCTTTTGTTGCCGGCCACAGCCAAACTATAACAACAACTTAAGTTTAAACATAACTTATGCTATGGAATGGTAGTGTTTTATAAACACTGTTACTAATTTTCTGTTCCTTCGTTGTTAAATTTGCAATGCAGCTGTGTACACGCTCATTTGAATTTGACGCTTCTACTGTCCTGACTGAGGTCTGTAAAAGACACAGCAATATTTTTCTTTCTTTAGATGATGGCAAGCTAATATTCCTTGATCATATTGGCAGTAGACTAAATACCAGCTTGGAAATACATTCTCTAAGGAGGTCATAGTAAATTGAATTGCAACAGAGTTTTGAATGGCAAGATAGCATTTAAGTCCATTTATTTATATGTATATACAGACACACGAGTGTGTGAATTTTAACGCAGATGGGGGAAATACAACTTAGATATTTCAGGCTCAAGAAGGGAATGCAACCAGGATTTTGAATTTTTTTAAACTTGAGCTTTTTGTCAATTGATAAGATACAGTTGAAAGGTTTGGATCACTAGGAAAAGGATTTAATAGAACTTTTGTTTGTGAGGGGAAAAAAAAGGGTTAAGAAAGTAGACCAAAGTTTTTACAAACCAGCTCTTCCACTGGAGCCCACAGAAGCTCTGCTTGGCTAAGGAATATATGAATATTGTACATGACAGTTTGACATATATAGGCTTTACTTTGTATGTGTGTATATATTGTAGAAATTATATTTCTGTTCAAAGAATAATCCAGTCTGACTCAGGGATAAACTCTGCGACTCATGCACTTGTTTTCTAGCAAAGCTGCTGTTGTGATAACAGCCCTTTCTCCATCAGCTAACTCTCTGTGTATTAAATAGTCTCGAAGTGTACAGGAATAAGGTCTATTTGTGAGCATAATTAAGTGCATATTGCCCCAATCCAGCACACACAATTCTCACAAGCATATCATGGAAGAAAGAGCCACAGGGGCAAGTTCAGTCCTGAGGCTATTGTAACAAATGTGGTGCAGTGTCAAGAGAGATGATTTTAATCCTTTATTCAGTTTGTTTGCCAGTATTAGTGTTCGGCCCTGTGGAGCTAAATGTTCCATGCTGTTTTCTTCCCCTTCATGTTTCAATAACAATTTTCACAAAAATTGTTTCCTACTTCATAGCATTACAACGAGTATACTGGTTATTTTCAGTCTGAAAGTGTGCCTGGAAATTTAGATATTTTCAAGCAATTCTTGTAATGTAGTCCAACTCTCTACATTTTTCAAAGTCATGTTTGAGAGACTGCAGGGTCGTAGTACGTATTTTATTTGAACAAGTGGCATCAGGACAAAGTAGACTTAAATTTTGTTGAATTAGAAGCAGTTTTTTGCATAATCTGACAAATTTTTCATCTGTTGATATTTAGCTACAAGGATATCTACTGACATATAGGTACGGGTATTTATTGACAGATCAATATATCAATAAAAATATTTTGTTTCTCAAGTAGTAGCATTCTTACTGGGATATTACTAGATACTGCAGTACTTGGTGCAGAAGAACCATGTCAGCAAAGAGATTCAACATCTCCTTAAAAAGATAACTTGACAAGCCTTTTATCTTTGTCGAAAATGATGATGAACAAAGTAAACAAGCAATATAAAAGATGAATAGCTAATAAGATTGTTTTGAAATGGTCTGAATAATAGAAACTTGAGAGACATTGATTTTTTTTTTTTTGTCCAATTGCCAATGATATCTGGTGCTTCTCTGAAAAAGGATACTTGTAGTTAATGAAAATACTTTACCTTTAACCCGAAGCTGGGAAGCAGGCCCAAAAGCTGAGATATAGTCAGAGCATGTGCAGAGGCAACACTTTATCCTAAGCCAAAACACTTTGAAACCTGACTGTTAGAACCTTGCCCTCCCATATTTATCTGCATGAAGGAATTCAGAAGTGTTCCCATCAGATGGAGCCTCAGTGGCATCAGTACACCATGGGAATCCATCATGGCATGTTCCAGATCTCTGCATCTTAACAAGAATAAAGCACTGGCTTTAGGAGAATGTGGTTCTCTGCATGCATCATGACCTCCAGTGCTGCTCTTTGGCTACAATGTCAATCTCCACATGGGCCTGAGTGTGGAAGTCCATTCCTCACACTGTAAATATCCCCACTGAAATCAAGAAGTGTGAGTAAGAGCCATATGATGAGAGACAAGAGGTCTGGTGTTAAAATATGTTTTCATATTTTTAGGGGAGTGTATTCTCACATGTGGGTTTCTTGTATTTGCCTGCACCTGTTGTGTGCACCAAATATTCCTGCAAAATAAGTAATTGCACAGTTTAGTATTAGATATGCATATGTACTCTTTACCATCCCATTACCTAATTTACATGCGTAAATGCAGGTTAACTGCACATGTAGCTTTGCCAGGGGCAAATTGAGTATTTCAGAATTTAACCTTGGGTGTGCTCTGGAGAATTATGATACAAGCCTGTGTTGTTTCTTCATTCAAGCTCTCAAGTCTGCTAGAAACCTAATATAAACACTTGACTCTACTTTTATTTCATAGGGTGATTCTTCAAAATTTCAGACCTATTCATTGTTAATTCTTTTGATATTTATTGATTGCATTAACATTAATCATGATAAACACCTTTGGTATTAATGTGGATGTCACTTGTATTGTACTCCAGACTGTCTGCTGTAACTCAACTCTCATTAACAGGATCATTAGTTATAAGGTGTTGTTTTTTGCATAAACAACTCCATGCCTTTCTTACAGAAGTGAGGAGAGTAAACATATATAAACTATTCACTGAATTTTGAAAACATTTTGCTATTTATAAGACTACCATTTAAAAAAAAAAGAAAGAAAAATAATAAGTTACATAATATTACTGCATATATCTCTTAAAACCCAAAAGCAACACAGTTTTTGCTTGGACAAGTTAATGTACACAATTATACTCCGTTGTCTCCAGAAGTTGACAGCAAGCTTGAGCTGTTACTTCTTCAAGTTTTCTCTGTATGACGCAAAGATCTTATTCATGGAGCTGTTGTGCTAGACTTTGAAGAGTGCTTAGCTCTTTGGGTGGGTGTGTTACTTCGGTAGCCGGAATCAGTTCTTACTGCTCCTCAGAAGGCCCAGGAGTGAGTCTCATTTTCAATGGAGAATTCACTACTCGGCAAGTTGAATGGGGCAGTCTTCCAGCTTTCAGCACAAGAGAGCTCAAAGTGAATAGATAAGCCGCGTGCCTTTCATGGATTTTAGGTCTGAATTACTCAATGTGCAAAATTCTGTCCATATTTCATTTGATTGAACTGTCTGTGTTTCAACAGTAAAAAAGGCACTATGCACTGAACTGCTCTCACCTCAGGTATTGCTGTGTTTTCTTACAGCCTGTGACCTGATGAACCAAGGCATCCTGGCCCTTGTCAGCTCCATCGGCTGCACGTCAGCAGGATCCCTGCAGTCGCTGGCAGATGCCATGCACATCCCTCACCTCTTCATCCAGCGCTCAACAGCAGGAACACCAAGGAGTGGCTGCGGGCTCACCAGGAGCAGCCGCAACGATGACTACACGCTCTCTGTCCGCCCCCCTGTCTACTTAAATGATGTCATCTTGAGGGTGGTCACGGAATACGCCTGGCAGAAATTCATTATTTTTTATGATAACGACTACGGTAAGTATTTATTTAGCAGGGTGATTTTTGTCAAATCCATAATTCCGTTGAAAGCAGTCACATTACATCTTTATAGTTTTCTAATAGATTATGTTTTGCTTGTGAACATTTATGGTTCCGTCAGCATTTCACAGCACCTCAGAGAATTCTATTTCTGAAATACATCAATGTTTATGGGTTTATTTGATAATTTCTTTGTTAGAGTTAGCTGATATATGGAGAATTTTTCTGGCTTTCTATTCTGACAGTGTTTATGAAGCATAAAAGTTTTTAGCAAGCTCTCTTGTTTTTTGGACTGTAGAGACAATTCAAGAGGAAACCGGTGAGATTTACATTCTATAGAATTGTTTACTGCATGGTGAATCTCTCCTGTTTGTTGGCACACATTTGATGGCTAGAAGCTGAAGCAGTGGTGAATGTAGGTCAGAGACCTCAGCAAGAATGAGCTGCTATTCATAAATGTAAACTTGTAGAGAGAACTTCTGTAGAGTGGAAGAACCTATGGAGAAGGGCCCGGAGAAGACAATGTTCCTTCCTTTTTGAGTTCGTTCAGTGCTCCTGAAAGGTGCTGAATTGATGGTTGTTGCGTGGTAGACTAAGTGCAACATAGACAGCGGCATCACAAGACAGCGCCATCCAGCTCGGTGACTCAACCGAGTTCGGTACAGGTATTTTCTATGGCTGAGAGGAGAGCTGGACAGATTTCTGTAGTATAGGTGCATTATCTAACTATTTTTATGACCATTTTTCTATGGAAAATTGCGTTGAAACCAGACCTGTTTTCTTCAGATGCATTCATTATTCTTAAGTAATCACGACTGGTTTGGGTGAACATTTTAAAACTTATTTTCAAAGTTAAATCTTCAAGTTATGGAAAAATGCTTGCTTCAGCGATTTGCTGTGCATAATATCTGGTTCATTCAGGTCAGGTGTTATTGATTTTTGTTCCCTGCCTACACAATCAATTCTTAATTTAGAAAGATAGAAAATGATGAATAGGAGAGTTCCTATTTATAACAACGCAGCACCTAAAAGCACCAGCCATAGGATAAGGAACACGCATAAAAACTCATCCAAAAAGCTTGCAACAAAGGTATTTTTGTCTGTGTTATATGAGTGTGTGCATTTAAGTACCAGTGTACCTATGAAGAAGACCATAGTCTTGCCAGGTAAAAAAATATATTTTTGCATATTTTTTTGAGTTTACAAACATCAAAGAAATTTTATAATTAATATTTTTGAATAATTATATTCATAAATACTAGTTTCAAATTATTCAAATTTCATTATTTAATTTGGGAATGCAGTTCAGATATCATGTCATTTTGTTCTTGATTTCTGGGCAAGAATCTCATTATGGCATGACTTCTGTAACACAGATGTCTGCCTGCAAGGAATAAGCTTCAGACCAGTAGCTCATTCAGTGACACATCATCCCCAGACGTGACATGGGGCAGATACTAATTCTTTCCACTAGCCTCTGTGGTGTTCTGACTTCAGTAGTCTGCAAGTAGTGCCATACTGGCCAAGACAGATCGGTAATCAGACTCTGATCAGTGATCACTATCACAGACACCAGGAAAAAATGCAAAAAAACTTTCTGTTTTTCCTATACACTGAGCAGTCTGTCCCCTTTCTAGCCATTTGTGTGGTTTGCGTATTTTGGGTGGGGTTTTGTGCGGTTTTGGGGGCTTTGTGTTGTCTTGTTTGTTTGTTTGTGTGTGTGCATAGTTCAGGACTAATACCATGAATAGAAAGGTTTTAAATGCAACCTGATTTTTAAGTTAGACTGCAACTCTGAATAGAGCTATTATCTGTGCAAAGGTATAATATTTCTTTAAATAGTGCTAAATCCGTGATTGCAACAGCTATCCTAGGGCAGCAAACAGTTTCTATATTCTCTTTATATTTCCTACAGTTTCTTTCTAAAATTTTATGTTGCTGATTTAATTGACTGTCTCCTCCTCCACTTTTAATAAGGAGCAAGAAAGCAGAAGTTTCAGATCACCATCGCTCATCTGAGGCCTCCCATGTTATTTCTGTTACCATGAGAGTTGTTCTCTTCAGTCACTCTTCTTGCTTGTACTGGAATGCCTCTCTAATTCCTCACTACCCTGTTTCAGGTGAAATCATTAGGCTTGATGCAGTATTTTGCCTGTTCTTAATTCTCTTCAACAGTTTTTGATCTATGGCTATAATTTTCCTCGTACTTGTGATGACATTATTTTCTTAGCAGTCCCTAGAGAACAATCTTGCCAGGAGCTCATTATAAATCTTCACAAATTATGTTGCTTTCTTCCCTTTTCCTGCGATTTTATTGATATAACCAAAGCATTTCCATTATGGTAGCAGTGCACATTTTTTCTTCCCAGGTTCTGTGTTGACTGAAGAGGGGCTCGCACAGAGAGAAGGGCGGAGAAATTGAAGGGGTGAAAAGAGGAACTGGAACAACTAATTAATGGTTTATAGACTGGAGAAGCCCAAATTCAGCATTTACCCTGCTTAGAGCAGGAAGCTGGACTATGTGACCTTCTGAAGTCCCATCCAACTCTAATTGTTCTATGATTCCATGATGTTTGAGAAAGCCATTCATTTAGATGGGTCTAAAGATGTGAAATACTTTAAAAAAAAAAAAAAAAAACCAAACAAAAAAACCCAAACCAAACAAAACAGCATCATTTTTGGTTTTATAAAAGAGACATGGCCCAGGAACGCCAGAAGAGCTTCAGGAAGGGAACATTACTGTTAGTTTCTGTGTCTGTTTTAGAAAGAAATCAAGACTGGGCACGCTAACATGGGGTGGAGGTGCAGGCAGAAGCCATTCTATTGGTCAGAGTGTCAGCGCAGCGAAGGGTGGTTGCAATTTGCTCTGGAAGATCCCAGTCCCATTTTCCAGCTTGTCTGAGAGGATCTGCCACAGTATGAGATTTATTTATTTTCTCAGCTCACACAGACCTAAAATTAAATTCTGATTGGAAGTTTTGCCCAGTTTAACTGCTTGCAGCAGTTAATATTAGACATTTTAATGTAACATTTAGTATTAAACATGAAAGTAGGTGGGAAATCAACATTTACATTAGAATTAAATTCGTATTAGGAAGAGATTATCGATATGTTCTGCACAGTCCTCTGCAGAACTGACACTTATGCAGCTATTTCTTGCCCTGGCAGTTTTCTTTTGTATGTGGTGATCTTTCTTTCTCCAGGTGTGTATCATAACATTAAGTGATGTATTCATAACAGAAAATAGCATTTGAGAAGTAATGGGAATATAGATTCTGATGTGTGTTAATCCTTTTTTTTCCCTATTGTTGCCATCTTTTTGTAAGTTAGAAAACATGAAAACACTGTTAGGCTGACTGGTTGCGGCAGCCAGCAGAATTCCAGTACTTTCCTTTCTGAGAAATTATTTTGTGATTTAATTTAATTTGGTGATTTATTTTAAGGATTTAATTTAAGGATTTATAAGAAAACACTTTAGTTTTATTATTGAAATTATTATTTCCTTAATAATTTCATTCTGTGAAAGAAAATGTGCCTTTCATATTTAAAATAAGTTTTCATACAGTAAAATTTGGCTCATATTCAAAGTAAATACTGTGCTAAACCAGATCTCTTGCACCTTTAAAAAAGACCTCAGCCATTTATGTGTCAATTTATCAATATCATTGTTTTTTTAATCCAATGAATTAAATTGCTTTTGATTTTTGTCTTGCAGCCTGTTATAGATTCCTTTTCATTATCACAGAGTTAGAGGATTGTTTGTACTTTGAAATGTGTCTTTCTGCAGGGCCAAGTGTTATTTCCCCAATGTTATACTTTTTTAAAAATCCTCTTTTTAAAATTCATTTTTGAATATAAGTAGAAAAGCACATTCGATTTTAACATTTCCAGCCTGGATAGGCTGGAAAGTTGGGCAGAGAGGAACCTGATGAGGTTCAACAAGGGCAAGTGCAGGGTCCTGCACCTGGGGAGGAACAACCTCATGCACCAGTACAGGCTTGGGGTGGACCTGCTGGAGAGCAGCTCTGCGGAGAGGGACCTGGGTGTCCTGGTGGATAACAGGTTAACCATGAGCCAGCAGTGTGCCCTGGCTGCCAAGAAAGCCAATGGAATCCTGGGGTGCGTCAAGAAGAGTGTGGCCAGTAGGACGAGGGAGGTTCTCCTTCCCCTCTACACTGCCCTGGTGAGGCCTCATCTGGAGTACTGTGTCCAGTTCTGGGCTCCCCAGTTCAAGAAAGATGAAGAGCTACTGGAGAGAGTCCAGCGGAGGGCTACGAGGATG